TTCAAAATTTTAAGTTATATTATATAAAAATTTAAGTCAGAGAGTGCCATTTCCGGCCATCTAGGCTAGAGATGCTATAATAATAATATGTTTTTTTTTTAATCTGTCCCAACCATGGTGGGTCTGAGGTGGCCTTCACCCTCCACCTATGAGAATCCCTCCCTGGCCCTTCTATTTCGAATTGCTTGACTCGCCACTGCAATTGTTAAGTTTTATGTGCCACCAATTTTCTTCATTAGTTTATAACAGCTGCTGAGACAGAATATACCCCTCTTAAAATAGTCACGAATCCGATTATCATTAGCCTTTAGGGCAAATAAAAAAAATTATTAGATTATCATTCCCGCCCGCGTAAAAAATTCGGGAAATATTGTTAAGGGCATAAAAATAACAATGCAGTTTTGTGACTTCAAATACATTTTCTTTAAAAAACTATTAAAAAAAATTTTTAAAAACCAGTTTTTATACAATATTTACTATTACTAGCCAAATATAAACAGTCCCTCCCTCATCGATAAAATCAAAAGCGAAATAGTCTACTGTTCCGATTGAAAAAAAAGAGTGATAATCTAATAATTGTTATGCGCCCTTATTACTGGCCTATGCCTTTAGGAGTAGTGTGTAAAAGAAGCACATCTGACGATGAAATTTCTGAGAACTTTAGGGAATTCCCCCTATCACATCAAAGGGCCTGGCAATTAATTTTGCACTTGGGGCCCTTTCGCACCTAGCTGCGCCGCTGTGTTACCTAATTTTAATAATGTTCTGAATATATAACATATTCAAATTGTGCTGGTTCAGATAATTCTTCGTCTATTATAATTGATGTAGATTGATTGATATAGGCCTATGGTTACCAAATCAAACGTCGTCTCGGAAATCAACACCTATTTTATATACGGTAATGTATCAGCTTAACCCAATTTATTCTGTCGAAAGCCTTTCCAAAAAAAAAAAAAAAAAAATGTAGGCAATCCATTTCCACGTCCCAAAGTAATATTTTTCACCCATCACACATAATATAGCAATAGCAACAAGACCAAATTGGTCACTTCCAATACTTTCTCAGAATTGTGCCGTCATTATTTGCCGAGATATTGCTCTTTCTTCTAATTGCTTTAACGTCTGCCGGTATTCCATCTATTCATTCTTCAGCTTGTCCTTCATGTAATCTCTATTCCTTTTCAAATTTCATCTTTGCGGAATGTTGGCCCCATTTTTCATCTACATATTTTTCATTTTGAGGACATGATGATGATGATGATGATGGTGATGGTGATGGTGATGGTGATGGTGATGGTGATGGTGATGGTGATGGTGATGGTGATGGTGATGGTGATGGTGGTGATGATGATGATGATGATGAAAATTTATAAAGTGCCGGTATCCGTTTAAGAAAAAAACACTCATGGCGACCCTCCAAAAGAAAGTCAAAATGTGAAATATATTTACATTTACAATACATTTGAAATACAGATACATTTTAAAAACCAGACATAGATGAGCGTCTCTCACTCTCTCTATGTGGCCATGTATGCATGGATATTACCAATTGCGACATATAGATGAATAATATGCAATGGATGAAATTACATGGAGAGTGCCTAAAGCAAGACATGGGCAAGGCCCAACACCAAAGGTGATCCACTGATCATATGATAAAATGTAATTCATACATGAAAGTAAAAACAATACAAAAAAAGCCTGAATTTGAAAACAATTTTAGCAACTGGGTTCCCAGTTTTCAATAAAAGATAAGGCAGCAGACAATTTAACAGAAAATGGCGCTAGGAGGAAGAGTTTTCTACAATTTAGCTGCCTTAATGAAAACCGATTTTTTAAAATAAAGTAGTCCTCACAGTCCTTGATTAGAGGGATCTACGGCTGTCTCTTATACACATCTAGATGTGTATAAGAGACAGCTCCTGTATTGTACCATGATAGATAAAACTTAATTGTCTTTGATGTATTTACTTAAATTTACCTACTTCGTGTGCTGAAAACCAATACCTGTCTCTTATACACATCTAGATGTGTATAAGAGACAGTCCCTCCCTGGCCCTTCTATTTCGAATTGCTTGACTCGCCACTGCAATTGTTAAGTTTTATGTGCCACCAATTTTCTTCATTAGTTTATAACAGCTGCTGAGACAGAATATACCCCTCTTAAAATAGTCACGAATCCGATTATCATTAGCCTTTAGGGCAAATAGAAAAAATTATTAGATTATCATTCCCGCCCGCGTCAAAAATTCGGGAAATATTGTTAAGGGCATAAAAATAACAATGCAGTTTTGTGACTTCAAATACATTTTCTTTAAAAAACTATTTAAAAATTTTTTTAAAAACCAGTTTTTATACAATATTTACTATTACTAGCCAAATATAAACAGTCCCTCCCTCATCGATAAAATCAAAAGCGAAATAGTCTACTGTTCCGATTTAAAAAAAAAAAAGAGTGATAATCTATTTTAATTATTTTTAATAATTGTTATGCGCCCTTATTACTGGCCTTTAGGAGTAGTGTGTAAAAGAAGCACTTCTGACGATGAAATTTCTGAGAACTTTAGGGAATTCCCCCTATCACATCAAAGGGCCTGGCAATTAATCTCTTTCGCACCTAGCTGCGCCGCTGTGTTACCTAATTTAAATAATGTTCTGAATATATAACATATTCAAATTGTGCTGGTTCAGATAATTCTTCGTCTATTATAATTGATGTAGATTGATTGATATAGGCCTACAGTTACCAAATCAAACGTCGTCTCGGAAATCAACACCTATTTTATATACGGTAATGTATCAGCTTAACCCAATTTATTCTGTCGAAAGCCTTTCCAAAAAAAAAAAAATGTAGGCAATCCATTTCCACGCCCCAAAGTAATATATTTCACCCATCACACATAATATAGCAATAGCAACAAGACCAAATTGGTCACTTCCAATACTTTCTCAGAATTTTGCTTTCATTATTTGCCGAGATATTGCTCTTTCTTCTAATTGTTTTAACGTCTGCCGGTATTCCATCTATTCATTCTTCAGCTTGTCTTTCATGTAATCTCTATTCCTTTTCAAATTTTATCTTTGCGGAATGTTGGCCCCATTTTTCATCTTCTACATATTTTTCATTTTGAGGACATGTTGGTTTTTGTTCTGCAGCATACATGTCTTCTATCAATATACAACTCCAATTTAAAAAAAAAAACAACAATAAAACAAAAACATTTTACAGTATTAAATGGATACAAAGACAAGAAATAGGGTGCTGGCAAAACAAGTTCAAAGCACAGACTAAAACAATCAAGCATTACTAAAATAAAACTAATATTATAATATTAACTGTTTCTAACTTTTATTAGTGGAAAGCACCTGTCATTCGTTTTAGTTTATACAGAACTGTTGGGTATGCTATTTTTGCATCGTTAGAATTTAACACAATTTCCCGTCATTGCTTTGCGTCGATCTCTTGTTCAGCATTGAGATCGGTGTGGAGAAAACTTACGTTTTTTTGTTTGTAATGTTTCCTATGATTTATATATGCAGGTTATGGGAAAATGATTTGAAATAGGCCTATCTGATATTAGAATACTTGTATTTATGAACGTGGATCTATGAGAGAATACCACCCACGTGACTTTGAATATTACCGTCTGTTGAGTACTGCAGAGGGCCTACTTTAAAGTCTCATTTAAGGTAAACTTCTATTTTTCCCGGCATTTATTTCTTATATCACTATTATCAGTTAATAGTACTGTATTCCATTCTTATCTAATATTGTGTGTGTGCTTTTGCGTCTGTTTCTTTATATTAATTGCTGTCATTTCTCTGACTGCCTTGTAGGCCTATGGTCAATTCACTTCGTCCGCTCTGTGTAACATACCGATTTCATTGCATTTACTACCGATCGAATCTTCATTTGCCTTATCAGTTATTCTTCTTAAATATACTTTCCACTTTCTTTTTTCTTCCATGGCATTTTTTACTTCCTCCCTTTTCATAATTTTGTTTGCACTGTTGACAATCGCTTTTTTTTTTTTTTTTTTTAACCATCTTACTTCAACATCAACTTCTTCATTGTGCAATATATCACATAGCACTGCCGTCGGAAGAATTTTGCAAGTGGTCCGGCCATTATAAGAGCGGGATGGGGGAGAGTCATAACCAACTCAGCCGCAGCCCCACCATGGTTGGGATGAGGTGCGAAAATTTGAGGAAATGGTACCTTTAGATGGCATAAAATGACACTCTATAGTAAAATTCATCACCACATCACCATTATAGGCCTAGTCAAAATGAAGTGCCAACAAATTTCTCAAACTTTTATCATCGATTTTCGGCAACCACAGAGATAATTAGTATGTGTGATGAGACCATAGAAAGTAAGACACCGTCTTTGATGTATTTACTTTACTTTATCACTTCAAAGATAGAATGTGAGTTCACACCCATCTCACCCCACCATGGTTGGAGGCTGAGGTGCGAAAATTGTAGGAAATAAATAGTACCGGTACCTCTAGATGGCCGGAAATGACACTTTTATATCTCAAGATGGCCGGAAAGACACTCTTATGGGCCTATAGTAAAAGTCATCATCATCACATCACCATGATCTTTTCTTTGCAATTTTCGGCAATAATAGAGATCTAATTAACTCCTGTATTGTACCATGATAGATAAAACTTAATTGTCTTTGATGTATTTACTTAAATTTACCTACTTCGTGTGCTGAAAACCAATACAGTATTATACTTTTTCTCATACTTCTCAAATTATAAAGGCACTGCGCACTCGAGTCGTGTATTACAGATAATTCAGATGTTAGTGGGCAGAGATATCGGAATCTTGCTATAAGAAGATGTACAGTAACTCTACTTTGGTTGAATTGTACAACGCTCTTTTGTTAAAACGTAGTCTTTTATGCAGTTCATTTCAACAACTTACAGGCATCTTCTTTACTTATGAAATTATTATTATTATCATCATCATCATCATCATCATCATCATCATCACTACCACCACCCTCATCACCCTCGTCGTCATAAAGGAATGCCGCATTAGAAAAAGAATACTGATGAATTGTTTTTTATACCACTCCAGGTGGCGTTTTACATGTAAACATTACTCAATGGACACGAAGGAGACTTTACAATTAATAAAAAATGTAAGTACAGTATTGAACATTTTGCATCGTTAATTCAATAGTAAAAAGGGAATTCTGTCATCATTCTATAGTTATTATTTTGACTGCGTTTGTTAGGCAGCCGCCTTGAAGGCATTGACAATTTCCTCGACAGAAGCATGCACTGACATGCTGCATTCTATTAAACAACATACATTCCAAGTGACTCGTTAAAATCACCAAAGACCTGAAACTGTTATTTACAGTAATTACAGCTTGGGGCTTGTTAACTTCCGTTCGTTTTTTACATTGTAGATTCGTATCTTTTTTTTTTCATTGACAATATATGCAATTTATTACCAAGAGCCTATACGGCAATTAACTGGTACACAACTTTTAATCCTGAATAATCGAAATTTGTTATAGCCCGACAAAAATATTTTCTATATTATTTTTAAAGAACAGCGAAATTGATCGGGGTAGGCTGAAATGACACAACCTTTATCAATACTGATATTAATATCTTCATGGATGTGTACTTCCATGATGTCGATATCACATAAAGCTACTACTGTAGTGACGGATCCAGAAATTCGAAACAGAGGGGATCCAGAGGGACTTTCACATGGATTTTTGATTATATCGCCATGCTCTAGATGACCGGAAACGACTTAAATGTTAATACAATTTTCATTTTTTCCCTCAATTTTCGAATTAAATTTTGAATAATTTAGGCGGTGACCGGTTGCACACTTCCCCTTTTCAAATATACAGAGCAGTTGAGCATTTTATATAGGACTGTAATAATAATAATAATAATAATAGGCCTAATAATAATAATAATGATAATAGGCCTAATAATAATAATAATAATAATAATAATAATAATA